ATTTTGCTCTCCCTAACATGCATGCAATTCTCTCTCAAGGTATAAAGATATAACGATATAGTTTCTCCTCCTATATTTTCTTCCCTATCGAAATAATGATTTCCCCCCTCTTTTGTCACAAATGACGAAGGAATCAATATCAAAAAAATCTTAACATCAATATACAATAACTTAAAATATTTGATTGATAGCATGCGCAAGTATAATCAATGATTAGTAAACCTTCCCACCTATCCAATTCAAGTTAACATGGAGTAAATTGTATAAGTGACCCATGTCTGTAAAGTTTCACCAATCCTTTGTAAATAGGACTCCAAATCTTAATTTGAGAGAAGGACATGCTAAATATCACTGCCAATAAGTTTATTCTTCTACTTATGAAAGTCAAACCATTAAAGCACATTAAGACCTTTAAATAAAAGCCCATTTTGTATGGATTTTTTCTTTTCTCTCCCTGACTTTGAGCATGCATAAAATTTTCATATCTTTCAATATTTTTTAAGCTTATTGTATTTTTGCATCTTAAATGCAGGTCTTTTCCCATTAAGCGACTAAGATGAGTCATGTGGCTAGCTTTAGACCGGTTAACCCAAGTTAGTTGACCATAGACACCGGGCTATGAGAAATCTCGCAAGCTTAATTACTCTCTGAAGAAGAACATAAGAAATTGAGCTTGTTATTATAGGGAATAAGGTTGAGCTTAGGTCCAATAAATAAGGTCAATTCATGTTCAAAGTCACCTTGCTAACATGTATTGGCATCCCAAATCTCACACACGCAATTGAGTCCCACTAATAATATCATAGTGTTTGCAGTATAGATAGTACATGAAGAAACATATACTAAGTACTCTATAATAACTTAAGCAAACAATGCTACAGCTCATCAATTATACCCACACTTGATCACAATAAATACATTCAAGTATAGTATATATCATGCTGCAAGTACACGTTCCCTTCTCTTTTCTTTTTACATTTTTTAATTTTTCAATTTTGTTGTTGTTTTTATTCTTAAACATGAACGCTCCAAGTGCACAAAACAAAACAAAAAATCACACACAAGATGAAAGAAATATGCATGTGCCAATTCAAACATAATGATGATGTACATGCATGAAACTACCTAGAAAATACAGATACACGAATGTGATGCATGCATAAATCAATGACTCAGCCGATTAAACACAAGCTCTTACCTTTAAGAGCACCGTGATCTATTTGAAGCTATTTTACATCACTTTTCTTTACCCAAACCTACTTAGTGATAGGAATATTTTCACTCATCTGTGTTATTAGCTTGATTAATTGACTCACCGACTAGTAAGGAAGTCAATATGATCAACATAATCCTGATTCTTATTTCTATTAAAGTTTCGTTCTATTTCTGTTCAGAAATTGATGACACCTAGGCTTTATGTATCCTAACTCACCAAAATAACATGTAGGGATAGGGCCATAGTTATAAGATCGCTTATTTCTATTCCTAGGTTGGTGAATCCTACACTGTTTAGTAGGCTTCTGTCTTTCAAATCCCTTATTTTTAGGTTGGGGGTTAGGAACATGTTTAGGCTGGTAATTAGTAGGGTCTTGGATGTACTTGCAATATTACGATATTTCTCCTTATATCCTAGACCTTCCTTATTATCAACAGGCTTGCCCATTCCTAGGATGTTATCTAGCTTCATAAAACCAGTAGAAAAGGCAAGAAGTTGAGACTTGTAATACTCTAGTTCGCTCAGAAGATTTTTAACCTGAATTTCTAACATTTCAATGGTTAGTTCACCAACTATCCTAGAGGTCTGCTCAAGCTCACTTATGAAATTCTTAACCTGAGTATTTAAAGATTCATTGATGGATTTCATCTCATTCAGGGTTGTGGTAGATTTCTAAAGGTAAGTTAACAATTTTTCTTTCTCCAACTTGAGTTCTTTGACCTTCTTACCTAAGGCTTTATTTGTATTTAGAATCTTAATGTTCTTCTCTTAGATTATATCATAAGCCTCATGAATATCGTCCTCACTATCTGAATCTTCTTCTGATTCTTCACCACTATTTGTGTCCTCAGCCTTATCGCTCCCCTTATCAAATCCACTCCTAATCCTAGCAGTGAAGGTAATGTATTTCCCACTTTCCTCATGAGTGGATTTCTCACTTTGATTGTTTGAGCTAGACTTGTCATCAGTAAGAGTAGTATTCACAGCCCTATCTGAATTTCTTCTACTGGTAGGGCAATTACTCCTAATATGGCCAAAACCTTGAAAATTATGACATCTAACAGAATTAGAATTCTTCCTAGACTCACTAAGGCCACTTCTGTGCTTCTCTTGAGATTTCTTTCTATTCCTAAACATTTTTCGAAATTTTTTAGTAAAGTATAATAACTCCTATTCATTAGGGAAATATGAATCTGAAGACTCTCGACAACCATTCCTCATAGCGTTTAAGGCCAAAGACTTATCAGTTGTAGGTTTCGCTAAGGCCAGTTCATAAGTTTGAAGAGATCCAATCAACTTTCTTTTACCTTAATTGAGTCTATATCCTTACTCTCCTCAATAGTCGTGATTTTAGGCCTAAATCGCTTAGATAAGGATCTAAGAATTTTTCTTACTATCTATCTCACCTAGATTGAAGCTGGAATTAACCATGTCATTTAGGCTCCCATAGGATTCATCAAAGGTCTCATCCTCTTTCATCATGATTTCTTCAAACCTAGTGATCAACATCTGTAACTTAGAATTTTTCACAGCTCGCGTTCCCTTATGTGTGGTCTGTAAGATATTCTAAATCTGTTTAGCTACCTCACACATGGACATTCTCCTAAATTCTTCAGGTGACACAGCCATAAATAAAGCATGCAAAGCCTTACTGTTCCAATTGCATTCATCTTAGTTAGCCTTTGACCAGTTTTCTATAGAAGTGAGAGTGACAACATTATTAATGGTGCTAGAAGGGGCAACCCAACCATTTACAACACTTAACCATATACGCTCATCCATTGATTTTTAAAAAAGCTCTTGTTCTATCCTTCTAATAGGCATAATTGCTACCATCAAAATATGGCGGAACAGTCAATGAACTACTCATCTAGACAAATTAAGGCCAGGATATGAAGTTAGGCTCTGATACCACTTGAAAACTCTTACTTAGTCGATTAAATTTGACCGTACGTGTGGAATTAACACAATTAAAAGCAACAAATAACTTTTTAATTGTTTCTAGATGGTTAATCAAACAATTGAATTATCCTAAGTTGAATTGTTGAAAGTAGTAAATAACACCAAATAAGTTGATGAAGAAACCCAACTAGATAAAAACTCCGAGGCCAAACCAATCATCTCCACTATAGACAATATGGATTTGCAGTTAGATGCTGTCTAGCTAACTCCATTAGACTTTTTGATCTACTTCATGTAACCTCCAAGATCTTGCTAAAACCATCAGCTCATGATCTCCAAAATTGTCTTTTCACCAAGAATGACCAATTCTTGTACTCTTCCTGCGTTTGTAGTCCAACCTCTCTCAATAATCAGCAGCCTCTGAAATTCAATTGAGAAAGTACCTTCCTAAGGGTGTTTAGGAAGTCGGAGTTTTGGATTCAATGTATTTGATGTTATTCCCCAATCTGTGGTTGTATAATCTCAAGAGTAAGTAGATTGAATCAATACAGGAACAAGCTCTTGAATCTTCAAAGAATATTATCAATGTGTTATAGAGAAGAAGCGCAATGAACAACCACCACTAATTTTCGTGCAAGGCATTAGGTATTTATAGTTGATGGCAATTAGGTAGTTTGGACCATGTAAAACTCTACAAAAATGCGAAGTAGGGTTCTACGCTTAACACTACTGCTCAAGCGAGGAGCTAGTGACATGCAAGTGACGATCTGTCGCTCGAGCGAAAGATGGGCAACAAGTGAGTGACGGGATTTTTGTTTTTGTCACTTGAACAACGTCTAGGCAATAGGCTAGCGAAATTGGGGCGTCTCTTTTTTCCTTATTTCGAACTCGAACCCTAGTTTACCTAACTCAACTATACAATATTGCACCTAACTCCCTGACTTTTTACGTCATATTTATTTCAGTATTTTTCTTTATAGAATTGCCAATTACATAAATCTGACACATGTTCAATCAAAGACACAAATCACAGTTCATCAAATATTCCCAAGAACAAATGGTTAACCTTAGGGAAGAAAACTTCTATATAATTACAGCCTCAAATGCAGAGCTTAAATACTACTTCAACTCCACTTCTTCCATTTCCCCCCATTTTCGTCCGCATGCCCACGGTTCAAATAACAATATTTATGGTCGTTAAAAAAATAATGCAGAATGTAAATGTTCAAGAATCCCTAGCTACTAGCTAGTGATTATTCAAATTAGCAAAGATTCTATCCATAGAAATAACGAGATTAGTTTTGAATTAAAACAAAAAGAGAAATTTAACCTTTAAATTATCTCGAACAATTCAAGGCAAACGCAAAGGTAAGCACCTGTAAAACTTTGGGTTAAATAGAACTTATAATTAAGAGCATGTTTGATGGAATTTATTTGGAAATAATAAGTTATTGAATAGTATTTTTTTGGAGAATGTGTGGTTAAAAAGTAAGAAAACATTATTGATTTGTGTGTAAAATATTTTATTGTGTAAATGTGTAATGAATAATGGTATTGTAGCAAACAATTTAAATTTTTGCCGCCATTTGGTTCCCATTTTGTGGAAAAATTAATGGGTGGAATAATATTTTTTTGAAAAATGAGCGGTTAAAAAAGAAGAAAAATTTTTCGTTTTACATGTAATATTATTTTATAGAAAATTGTGTGATTTAAAATAATAAAAAAGAAATATAATAGAATAAAAATTAATGGAACCAAACGCGGCTTTAAAAGATGAGAAACAGGCTAACTACAAAACAAAAAGGTATATTGCAGAGAGAAGATAATGCCTAATAATTAAACCCGCAAATTAGCAGTACTCTAGAATCTACGTATGCAAGGCTCACCACCCGAAGCATATTTAGGGTTCTTTGAATCATAGATTTCGAGAGTCAAATAAGAATTCTTGTTAAAAAAAATACTTACAATCCACCAATATTTTCCTTACATTTCTTTACTCCAAAAAGACCAATCTGTCGTAAACACAAAACATATTACAACTATACTAACATAATGAAGACAGACTAGACAGTGGAAATTACATATGAAGAAGCCAAGAAGGAAAATTACACATACCTTCTCCACCAAAAGAAACCCTAAATGATTATGCTGATATTAGGGTATATTTTCGTGTCACAGGCGTCAAATGAAGCTGCCATATGATCTGACCTTCCCTGAACAAACAAGAAAAGTTTAGATCAAGCTGGCAGCTTCAATTGATACAAGTGCACGATGATGAAACAAGCACTTTCTCGATTCCTACCACGGTAAGAAAAAAGAGATCCTAACTGCGTTTTATCTACATCTTCTCAAATCTTTTATACTTAGAGAAGAGAGGGGAATGGTGGTGTTATAAATAGAGGTCTAAAAGATAGAGGGACCAAAGGGGAATATGATATGAAGGGATAAAAGATAGATGGTGAAGGAAAATCTTTGAAAAATCATACATAATTAAAGAGAACAGAAAATTCATAGATTTAAGGGTGGTCCCTTTTGATAATGCAAATTGCATATATATGTTGTGAGAGGGACCATATTAATTTCTTGAATTCTTTAACATAGTAGCTGGGAGCAAAATTCTGCACACTTGTTAGAATTTTGATAAAAATTGACCCGGCCTATGTAGACATAAAGGAGCATATTGAGCACTAAATTTTAAAAGACAAATAATGGAGCCAAAGAAAAAAAAAACCAAAGAATCCCCCTTCTAGTTCAAATGGACATCGGCCTACAGAATTAATGCATTGACATAAGAGATATTTCTGCAATCGAGTTTATTTTCAATTCAAATCGGAATTTATTCAGTTGCTTCAATGTGTTTCGATGGTGAAAACACGAAGTTAGCATAAGACGTACCTTCAGACTAGAAAAGCAAAATTTTCCAAATGAAGTCGAAGAAGAGGAATTGTGCTGACATAACATTGACATGAGTAGCCCAAAGTTAAAGAAGAAGAAAATTGGTGTTGACAAGCCGTATGTGCTACGTTAGCTGCTTAACATATAATTTGTTTTGTCAGCAAATGAAGATAATGTGACTGAAATTTGTGCATGCTAGTCAATTGGAATCGTTTTTGAACCGTGATTGATAATGGGCAGTTGTTAAGGCAAATTTGGTTCAACTATTTTGAATATGAAATTGAGTTTAAATTTGACATTGAGCTGATTTGGATCACATTTAGATGATTGAGGAACTTAGATTTTTGGGAAAAAACAGTAACTCCATTACTTCACATTGTCCATGTCAATTTTCTTTGAAGATGGATAATCAAGCTTCTCTTCTCTGTCTCTAATTTTTTTTTTTTTTTTGGAATTTAAAAATTCCATCAACCCTGAAGATAAAAATAAAAAAAAAAACCCCGAAAAAAAAAAAAAAAAAAAAAAAAAAAAAAAAAAAAAAGCACTGAATTCAATATCAAGCTTTTATTGTTTCTTGAGAAATTAAGTTGAACACTAGTTAATGGAGTGCCTCGGTCCACTAGGTTTATTAAAAAAAATTCTAAGTAAACATAAACACAAGTGATTGACGATAATAATTTAAAATCTTATCACAATAGACAACGAATGAGACAACAGATGTTCTTTTGTAGTTAAAAAAATAAAAAAAAATAAATAACAATGTCTAGTTGAGAATGAATATAAAAAAAAAAAAAAAGTGATTAATTATCACTTTCAAATAAGGGCTAAATACCAACCTAGTTGGCATGATCAAATGGCGGTTAGAGCTGGATCAAACTAGACAAACTTGCAATATTGATGTGTCTATTTATTAGACTGTTCAATAATTTTGTTGGGTGATCGCTTTTAAACAAGGCCTAAATACCAACCAAGTTGGAATAATTCTACGGACTCTATATACGAGTAGAATAGGAGTAGACTAGATGAGCTCGCAATATTGACGTATTCATCAATTAGAGTGCTCTATAGATTTAGAAGATATCTCGAATTGTATTTTAAAAAGACAAATTTAGGTTTATAATGGACTTAGATCGAACCTAAATACAAGCGAATTGTCTAGATCGATCCACATAGTATTGACAACATCTTTCGTGCCATACATTTAGCCCTTGTTTGAGTCTTATTTTGAAGAGAAAATGCATTTTTGAATAGTGAATTTTTGGAGAATGTGTGGTTAGAAAGTAAGAAAAAAATTTAATTTACGTGTAAGATTATTTTATTGGAGAATGTGTGATTAAAAATAAAATTGAAAAAATAGGCTCAAACAAGGGCTTAGTTATTAGATGGATGATGAGCTAAGGCTCATAACGTCCTTGAACAGGAGCTGGATGTAACCGGGCCGAGCTAGACTGACCCACAGCGTTGACCACACCACAACACAGTCAAGCAATGAAAAATTTGACTACTTCTCATTCACTCTAAGCGTTTCTGAGTGCCATAGTCTTGATGCTGCTGCATTGAGAATCGCCAAGAATCAATCCGTTTTCTTCTTCAACAAGCTAAGAATTAGAAAAAAGGGCAAAAATTAGCATGCAATGCTCCTCAAATTCAATTTATAATTCCTGTCAAATTGGTGTCACACCTTTCCATCTATACCCTTTGTTTGTTTCCCATTTTTCCTCCATTTTTAGAAGAAAAAGAGCTGTTACTGGGCCCCACCTAACATGACAAGTTTGACTTACTTCTCACAATTTGTGTAGAGAGGTGAGCTCAACGATTGAAAATTTCATTCTCATTTTTGGAGAAATACCCATCAAACGGGCACATAACAAGATTGTTTTACAGGAAGACAGAGGAAATTCCTGAGTAACGCAGTATTTCATTTTTTAATCCAACAAAAGCAATTTCATTTGTGATACGCCTATGATGTTTGACAAAATTACTCAGAGAAAATATTTGTCCAAGTGTTGCATTCGTCCAGTTTATCTCTGGAACACTTAATTGGTTCTCTTCATGTGATTACCATTTTTAAAGAAGTAGGAATATATGGTATGTGCCTGCTAAAACTTCGATCTTGGTTTGCTTGGGACAACTTTTTCTTTGGAAAGTGCTAAATTCTTATCTTGACTACTTATTCAATGGACTTATTTTGTTGGCAAAGAGAACAATGATTTATCGAATTCGGCTTGCTTCTATCCAAAAGTTTAAACATTTTAATAATCTTATTGTTACAATCCGGGCAAGATCTGAAATTACTTTGTTGAAAACAGAATAGCTCTGATATCAATGTGTTTCCGGCCAAATAATTAAAGAACGAGAAAATAAGAGTAATATGAAAGTAATTGATAACACAATAAACTGGATTTTTGTAGAAGAAGAGGATAATTTATTATCCCAAGAAACTAAAATTATCTTTACAAGATTTAATTCTCTCACACCATGCCACTTCTGAGCATACTTAACAATTGTGAAATAAATTTAAGTCGTGCTCACCAGTGGAACTACCTTGTGTGCCGACTTTGCTTGAATCATCCGATTCAACTCCAGTTCCAATCGAGTAACCAAGATTGCTCAAATCATCATGAGCACTTTCAACTCCACGTTATCAAACCCGCTCAAATCACTATGAGCACTTCCAACTCTACCCGAGTTGTCAAACCTGCTCAAATCACCATGAGTAACATGATCAATAAGATCACAATTAACTCCACCTGAGCTACTGGAAGATTCCTCAATATTACTGTTTGAATTACCACAAACAAATCGATCACAACCGACTCCACCTAAGTCATCGCTTGTCAAACCATAAGCTGCAATTACATCCACAGTGACCGTCAAACCTTCTAACACATAAACAAGACTTTTTCCACCCCTATAACACAATTTGGACACCTTTGCTAACTTTCTAAACCCCACTTCCACTGTTATACCTTTACCCTTTTGAATCAAGAATACTCAAAGAGATTACATTCTTGTTTATACCTGGAACATGTTGTACCTGGCCAAGTGTCCTAATTTTCCAATCAAACATCTTGATTTTGATATTACCAATCCCAACTACTTTACAAAGCTCATTATTTCCCATCATCACGGAACCCCACGTAATTGTTTTATATGAAGAAAATCAATCCCGATTTGGACACATGAAAATGCAAGCCGAATCAAGAACTCGATCATCGTCAAGTTTGGAGTCATATTTGGTAATCACTAAAAGATCTCCATCACTATTTTCTTCTTCGAGATTGACATTATCGAAATTTTCTAGTTGTTCCTTTTGATCTATAGTAGCAAACCTGCTTTGCTACTCATAGCAATCCCTCTTCATGTGCCCCTTGTTATTGTAATACATACAGACTATATTACTATTGCTATCTTTGACTCTACTTGAGCCTTGGATCTAATGACCAGATAATTCATCTTCTCATTGGAATAAATCACATCATATACCTTGTTAATAGGAAGAGCATCTAGACTATAGAAGATGTTATCTCTAAAAGTTACATATGAAGGCGGCAATGAGTATAACAATTCAGCTTTAAATCCTCTTTATCATACTTGACCTCCATGGTCTCTAAGTCAACGAAGATTTTCTTGAACATCAATCTATGATCTTCCAGAGATCCACCTTCCGTCAAGAGATGAGAGTACAACCACTGTTCCAAGTGTAATTTACTTGTTGAGGTCTTTGTCATATAGAGCTGCTGCAATTTTAACCACAAATCAGCAACATTTTTCTCTTTTATCACTTCCTGAAAATTTTGATTATAAAGATGAAGATGCATCTGTGATAGGACTTTTTGATCCTTCCGTTGCTTTTCCTCCGCGGTCATTGTTGTGGACGTTCCATCTGTCTCCAACAAAGCATCATCAAGATCCAATTATGCATTCACATCTTGATCTGCCACAAAGAGAATCTACTATTGTGATCCAAAAGCAGAATCTAAAATTTCATAGTTGTCGTCCCTGAAACAATTGACCTTGTTTCAACCCTACTTTAATATCCAATATGGAACTCCCAAGAACTGGCCAAAAAATCTCTAGCTCTGATTCTACTTGTTATAATCTAGACCAAATCTGAAACCACTTTGTTGAAAGCGAAGCAACTCTGATACCAATTTGTTGAGAATCCGATGAATTAATTAAAGAACGTTAAAATAAGAGCAATATGAAAATAATGGATTATACAATAAATAAGATTTTTTGTGGAGAAGAGGAAAATTTTTTATACCAAGAATTTAAAATTGTCATTACAAGAATGAATTCTCTCAATTTAAAAAATCTAAACAATCCTCTCAAATTTCTAATGTGTACAACAATAATCTAGTTGTTATGTTAAGTCTATCTAAATGACTCTTAAAGTCAATCAAATAAATATGTGTAATGTCTCACGTATTTATAATAATATACTAGAAGAATTAATACATGAATAATTTAATAAAAGGTGAGTCCCAATACAATGAGTAAAACCTATGACGAAATATTTGAGATAAAATAGGTGTAAAAATGCCCCCCAAAAAAAGGGATTTATCAAGACTTCTTCA